TAATAACTATATCATAACAGTAATGGGATGTAATAGGTTCTTCAATCCTAGTTTGTCAAGTATTATGAATAATTACCATAAATCTCTCCTTGGCTGAATGAGTTTGATTACTAATAGAGATAAATTATGGTCTTTTGCGATAGTATCTATTCTTTTTCAGCATCGTTATTTTTTTGCGGTTTTTTTGCTTATGAATTCGTTCCTTAATAAAACGGATCCATTTTCTAGGAAAGTTGCAGATTATATCTTGCAACAGCGCCTAATACTTCGAGTCCGTCCACACCACTCAAAATACTGACAGGCACAACAAGAGGAGGGAGCCATGGGTGTCGGCTTCATTCTGTTCTGACCGATGACAGTAAATTAGGAAGGATAGTATCATTGAATGTAGCCGATAGTGATTCATTGATTCAATGATATTTTCGTTTAGGATCGGGATCTATTCGAGATATTTCAAACAAAACCATAACCAGTCGAAGCCCTGAGGGGGCAGAAGGACGATCTAGCCTTCATAGCCATCTAGTGGCTTTAGTGCGAGGTGTATAGGTAGATTCATCAATCATACCTTGCGACTAAGTCGTGCATATAGACCCCTACGTCTATATGCTTACAGAAAAGACATCCATGTCAGATTCTGTAGACTATCGCAACACCTGTAATTCTCAAAGTGGTTTAATGTTCCACTAACAGATGGTGATAAACCTAGAAACTCAAGACTAAGAGATTCTAGGGAAATTTCGAGAATCGATTGTCAGCTGATGCAAGACAGACTGTTTCGACTTGCCATAAGTCTCATCAGTTGCAGTTGCCAGTGCAATACACCTTGCACTTAAGCCACTAGATGGCTATGAAGGCTAGATCGTCCTTCTGCCCCCTCAGGGCTTCGACTTGTTTGATATATGGAGGTACCCTTCGTGAATCGATTGTCAGCTGGCCAGTGCAACTGATGAGACTTATGGCAAGTCGAAACAGTTTGTCTTGCATCAGCTGACAATCGATTCACGAAATTTCCCTAGAATCTCTTAGTCTTGAGATTCTAGGTTTATCTAAACCATAACCTGTCAGAATGAAGCCAACTACCCTCTGCATTCCTGCTCCGAGTGCATTTGTGGTTGGTTAAGTTTTTGTTTTTGTTTACCAGTTTTACTTCTTCTACTTTTTTTCCTTCGTTTGTCATTCGTTAGCTATTCGCTAGCTATATTCTTCATCATCAGCTATTTTCAGACTAGATTAAGAATGTACGTCACAGTTTGCCGCCCCGAAAATTTGAAATTGCTTCAATTTGAAAACTTATTTTATAAAAATTCATCTGAAGGAAACTTCCCCATTATATTTTCTTTGCTTTGGACGTTCGGGAACGAATCTGCTCCCGTTTTCAACATAAAAAATGGATTTTTTGTACCGCAAATTCGTATTTGACACTTTTCAGTTCTCAGTGACAATTGGTGACGTTGGCAATCATGAGTTACAGGATGTTTTCATCAATTAATCTTGAATTCACAGTATACCTTATGTTTGTGGAAAGTTTTATACAGGTGAAACCAAGAGACCTCTTTCAGTAGGGTCGAAGGAATAACTGGAATAATTATTGCATCTTCATTTTAGAAACAGTATGTCTCATTCAAGAAAGAAAATACAATTTTCCTTCATAAAATAAATATGACACCCGGCAAAGAGTCAATATACCTCTGCCAAAACCAAACTCAACGATGACTAAAAATGCAATTATATTAGAGAGTCGGGAAATCTTTCATCATCTACCATCCGACCTAAAAAGAATGACAGACTCAAAAGCATTTCGGGAGCGTGTGAAAAAACTTCTGCTTCCAAAAGCATATTACAGCTTGGGAGAATATTTTCATGACAGATTTTGAGTACCTGCGAGTTGAAAGCGCCTGATTTTAAATTATTGATTCACCCATGTCAATTCTTAAAATATTCTGTAGAATCCTCGGTAGAATCTTACGTCTTGTCTTACTGTAAACTTTTATACTTTCTGTTGTATGTATATTACTTCATTTATATATTTCAAATTTAAGACAAATTAATGCTTTGTCATTGAGAATCTTCTTCTTCGACAATAAAATATATTCTGAGTTGAATTGAAAGTTGCGATACACGAAAAATTACACATCTCAGAATTGGCGAGTGGACATTTTTTTTTATATCTTAAATAGAATCATCACTCAAATACCTTACAATTTTATATTTCCTTAGAATTTTTCGGTCGATTTTAAGGTGCTGAAACGTTACCACTGCATGCTCCGTGGGTGACGTCACTTAGTGAGGCCTAACCAGCGGCTCGAAACGACAAGCGCTTATAGCGCTATAAGGCGACCGCGTATTTCGATTTTAGTTTTAGATCATCATTGAGCCGATTTTGCTGTTTTTTGAAGGGCTTCCGTTTAAAAAAGGATGCCAGTCGTCAACTGAGCCCTTCTTCGCACCCCATTCGATTTCATTATGAAAAAACGAAGTTTTAATGCAAAAACCAGGATAAAACACAAATATCCACCTACAGCAACCCATTCGAATTAAATATATTGGCAAAAATTGTGGTGAAGTTAAACTTCACACCTACTTATGCAAGGCCCGCAGAACATAAACTTATCGTGAGATTGATCGAAAGAAAATTGTGGAAAATGTATTTTATTTTGATTGACATGCCGTTTGTTACAATTACCTATATTTATCTTGGAGAATTCCTATTACCTGGAAAAATAACCAGTGAGTGTTTTCAATTTTCTGTTGTTGGATTTTTCACCCAAGTGGATCGTTACACTTGAAACCGTAATTTTTAAGGGTAAAACTGCATTTATCATGCGATGGTTTTTTTTTTGAATTTTTTTTTTGGTACTTACGTATTTTTGTCTGATAAACCGAATTTTATAATGAAAATGTGAACAAACCACTATTTATTGAGATATTTCAAGTTCGAAATTTCGCCTTCTTTCTCCCCTTGTGTTGGGGGCATTTGAAGCTACTTGCTCTTATTTTGTCATTGGACACTTTATATACTCATGATGTACTTCGATGGCACATTTTTATATAGAGAATTCAACAGGAAATATGATTTTTATGACGAGTTTTTCATATTTAGTGAACCCGCATTCCAGATGACGACCATTTAATCAATAGTCAATCAAAATACGAGATGTCAAATTATGTCAATAGATTGCTTTCGAATGACATTACACACGCCATTATTTTGAATGATATTCTTCCTTCTTTTCACTAAATATGGATTAATCTCAAGAAAATCATATTTATAGTTGAATTATATATAAATTGTCCAATATGATGAAAAAAGAAGGGAAATTTGTTCTAAATGCCATCCAGAAGACAGGTGAAAAAGAAGGTGAAATTTGGAACTTTTTAGTCAAATATCTTCATGATAAATATCATGATAAATGCAGTTTTACCTTTTTAAGTAGAGTGTTTGTAGTTCATGTTAATATGATAGTTGCAATTTGATCATTGGAATGAATTCTGCATTCAATGCCACGAGGCAAATGACCGTTTTCAGAAAGAAATTTGAGAATGAGAATTAAAAATGCCCGTTTATTATGAACATTTAAGAAAATTTCCTCGAATTCAGAGATGATTTTGTTGACTATAATATACGAATACAAAACTAACTGCACAATCAAAACTTTTCTATTTTTCCTCTACTTATACTTTTTATGAGAGAGTAATTGTCTTCTATTATTATTTCATCATTATAAATTAAGCTCTGTTTACTACTGAACTTAGATGGAGTAAAATCCTCGCGGTGAATTGCATATAGCCACATTTTCGATAGCTCCTCGTCCAACGGTAAACTAAAAGCATGAACTTTTGAACCACCCACATAATTCCCCCGACAAAAGGGAACACAACACTTGAAAGGCATTGTTATTTCGCCGATCACAACACAAAATATTTCACGATACAGTATTTTTTCCGCCAAGTATTTTGATGAATAAACAACAAAAGAATTCGGAACCGTTTCAAAAACATACGTGAATCACCGATGAATTAACATGAACTAACGCGTTAGTCGACAAGCGATAAAATAAAACACTGGCCTCTCTTGGCGACGTCACGAGCTGTTTACGTCAGAGTCTGCTGGCCTTGTTGTATCGGTGGTAACGGCTAAAATCATCAATAATGCCACAGTAATTTTCAAACGGCTGGAAATTTACCGCCAGTCAAAACTGACGTCACAATTTCGTAAGTAGGTGCAGACCATAGCACAGTTGCCATATGTTGAAATACAATTGAAAACTTCAGAAATATTAGTTATTCAATAATTCATAAATTCTCAATCATGTATTGTTAATACTCCTAATAAGCAATAAAAATTATAATACATTTGTGTGAATAATAATAATATTCAACTACGAAATAGCCACAATGCTCAATGTGGAATGAAATATTGAATAAATACAAAAAGCTCAAAGTTATTTCTACACAATGTTCATAAAATGAACAACAATTGTAGATTTCGGGAGAAAAACAACTACTTTCCCGGCTAATGCCACGCAGAACATTGAATTACATCCTCCCGAAATCTATGCATCGACTCGTATAAACCCTTTAGAGGCGTCCTTCATAGACAATATGAACGCAACGCTTTCATATTCCGCCTCTGCTCTTGGGGAATATAATGCCGACTTGATTTTTGTTTGGCTAGGCTACGCTTAGTCAGCGGTCTTAGGACTGTTGGCTGGAGACTGCCCTGCACTGATGAGAGTCAAAGAGCTCGAAACTATTTGTTTTTCTCCCGACATCTACCATGGTTGTTCATTTTATGAACATTGTGTGAAAATGACTCTGAGTTTCATGTATTCATTCAATAATTATATTGGTTCACACTAGAGGACATTCGAACTAGTAAACGTGACAACACGGCGCACGAGCTGTGGGCGGTGTCTTGTCAGTTCTTAGAAATCAGCACAATGTTACGAATTTTTTGGGCAGCACTGTACCTTATCTAATAACTAGATAATCATATTTACCATTGTTCCAATTCCTGAGCACCTCCCCCTGTTTCTCCCAATCCCTGACGTTCACCGACTTTCCTGCTCTCACCCGCCTGCCCCGCTGCATCTTGCCTTTCGCTGCTCTGTCTCAGCAAACCGAAGAAAATACGCATGTTTTCACATTGGCCACACACCGCCCTGTATGCTGTATGTGTACACGCACCTTTAGAAATTCGACCGAACGACACTGATCGACTGAGTTCTGTCAAAAACTGTTCCGTGAACTGAGGAAGTTGCACTTGGTGAGTCTGGACAAATGCCAAATTGTTTTCCGTTCACTTTTGACGACAGTTCTGATTTTTATTTGCACCATAGGTGTTATCGAGGCTTCACACTATCTTTGTTATCTTTGGTTAGCACTGCGATTAATCGGTATTTAATTAATAATTCAACTGCATCATAGTAATTTATCTTTTATTTCGGTAGATAAGATTATTTTGGTAGATTATTCTCGCACTGGGATTGTGAATGTTGCAGAGGCCCTATGTTGAACAGGGACGATTTCCGATCCTCTGGACGCAAGAGACACTGATCCACTGATAATTCAAGTGCTCTGTGGCAGTCAGAACGATTTTTTTTTTAGTCTGGAGCAATGCCAAGATGTTTCTCGCGTACACTGTTGACGGCACGTATCTTATTGGTTGTTACTGACTTAGTTTATCTGTATTATCTTATTTACCTATCTCTTGTTAGCACCGCGAATTTAATTAATTTGGACTGCATAATTTGTCTAGATGAGATTATTTTGGTAGATGATCATCACACGTCACACGTGATTGCAAACCATCAATATAGCAGGTTAGTTAATCTTCCTAGCAGCTGTGTTGAAATGAAAAACATAGCTTTTTGTTCTATTGAAATTGAACTGCCAATAGTAAAGACAGCAACACATTGTAAAGGATAATAAATATCACATCCTTTACAAATGCGGAAGTCGTAACAAAGCAAGCGATGGCAAAGACAATTTCAAAATTCGAACGTCCTCTCAGGCATGTTTGTTTGTGCTTGCTCAATCTGCTGAACTTTGTTTTTCTCTTGAATGAACTTGAAAAATTTTTTTCAGCAACCGTCCGGCAAGTGCTCAAGAGAAAGTAGCATTTTGCGGCCTAGTCCGGGAAGTACGTACTAAGTATAACATCGTTGTTGCCACTGTAGATATGGTTTTGTTAAATGCAGATGATGATTACCATAGCAGCGAAATATCGGCTGACAGCTATTTGACATGAAATTAGTTGACATTTTGATTTTTGAAAGTTTGGTTTCAATTATCGCAATAAACTATCGAGAGCAGCTGCGATAGTGAGTTTGAAAATGTCCAAACTCAAATGTCAGTATTTGATACAAATTAGAATTAATAAAGAAGAAATTGTATTCTACAAAGAAATATAATAGGGAAAAGTGTTTCATTTATTTGTTATTCTACATGGTTGCCGAGAAAATAGGGTTCGCAACACGTCCAAAATTCGAATAGCATAAGATAGATCTCAATTTTTGACGAGGTATTTACTGATGAAATAAAAATCGAACTGGCAACCTTGGTCCGCGCAGAGAGTAAGTTGACAACAACTGTCATGCTGTCAAGTTATTCATGAGATGAAATTGTTTGTAAATCAGCTTGTTGTTATTCTTGATATTCTTGATATAAGTATAAGGTACTTTCTGTAAACCAATTTCGTTTCATACTTTGTTTTGTGCTTTTTTTTGCAAATGAATTATTATTATTATAATTGTCAATATTCTACCTAAAATATGGAAATGCCCCGAAACAGAGCTTATAACACCTGATCTATTGGCTGCCTATAAGCATTTCACTGTATATTTTTTAGCACCATGCATATGCATTTCTATTAATTTTTTACTGTCCTGGTCTTGAAGTCACAAACACACATGAAAATATAACACGATGACCTTTATGGTAAAGGCCATAATTTTATTAATTGTTCCTTTTTATTTAATTCCGCGCGCACTGTTGTCACTCGCACTTCATTTACTATTTGCGATGACGTGTTTGCACATAAGCCAAACTATCCATTGACTTTCATTAATGACCAATGATTCACTATAATCATTATTATTCGTTAGACGCCTTGTGTGAAATTGGTGCTTAATATTCTGAATGGCACAAAAAATTACTAAATGATAGGAAGATAGATATAGAAGAAAATGGGGATTGGATACTTTTACTCGACAAAAGCTTGTTGAATACGATTCAATTACTTACGATGAATTACTGTTGTCCGAGAGCTCATTACGTTTCGAAAAGATAATGATTAGTTAGGTATGTTGAAGATTTAATAATATTCTTTCAGAATATTTAGCGGATGAAAAGACAATCAACCGTCATCACCACCAAGAGGTTCTTCAACCGTGTAAACTAATACAGGGTGAGTCATGATGAACTGTACATACTCCTACCACGAATAAAGGCCGTTGAGGGGAATACCTGATGACCATCAGAAAATGTCTTCTTCTCTTCTTTACCAATATATGGGGTGAATTATGAGATTTGGCAAAAACATCTTTTGGGCATAACTTTTCAACAGCTCCTTCGATTCGTCTGATTTTTTCATGAAATATTCCTCTACTAAACCCTAATCGACTGACATTTCCAGAATCGGTTAAATCCAGGACCGTTTTTGAAAAATTTTGATAGTTTAGTTCATAGCAAAAAGTTCATCCTGTATATGGTTTTTGTGAACTGTGACAGGGAATTTTCAAAGCAAACAAACAAGCATCAAGAATAAAATATTCAAAATTCTCCTCACACTTCCACAGAATTTTTCAAAGAACGATAAATTATAAGAAAAAACGAAAGTTTGACAACAAATTCTTTAATTTGAAAATAATTACTTCGCAACGCATAAATTTAACAAAAAATGAAAGTGAGACTCACATTTTCAATGCTTGAGCCCAATGAAAACCAACATGTCATTCCATTTTTTGTGGAGGGTAATAATCACCCTGTAGATCTTTTTCAAATCAGAGGATGGGGTATCTGTTTAGGTGTTAATGGTCATCGATTCAAATAATTCAAGATAGTCGAACAGAAAATAAAGGTTTATTCACAATTATTTTTCAAAAGCTATACTGATAAAGGCGGATAATAATTCTAGTATGGAAAATAAATGACCAAATTAACTGAATAAAATAAATCGAATAGGTAAAACTGTGAATTGGAATCATAAAATTATTTTTCTACATTCATGCAAAAAGCAGAACTTTATTGAACTATATTTAGTGGAAAAAGAAGTTCTTTATTGCACTTAGTGCAATAAAGTTTTTATTGCACTCATCTGTCATTCTACTTCAACGTGCTGTCATCATGACAAACATTTTTTATATTGCAACTGTGGTTATAGAAACGTCAGTCAAAAATTGATTCTGACAAGTTGCGTTTTTCATTTTCCTATACACCTAGTGCCGCACCTCAATAAATCATTTTTTGCTTTTTGCATGAACGTAGAAAAAATGTTGTATGCAACTCGTGCAAAAATTGTTTATTGCACTCGACGTGTTGTCCAACTCGGCCTAACGGCCTCGTCGAACAATTTCACGTCGAGTGCAATAAACATTCACTTTTTGCACTTGTTGCATAAATAACTATTATAGCGATGGCCATCAACATTTTCACAGTTACCCCATTCGCTGATTCGAAAAAGATGTACAGGGTGATTATTATCCTCCACAAAAAAATTGAATCACTGAATTCAGGCCTTAAAATAAAATAATATGTTGATTTCCATTGAGCTGAAGCATTGAAAATGTAAGTCTCAATTTTATTTGGAAAATGGTCGGGAAAATGTATGGGTTGCGAAGTATTAACTCCCAAATAAATGAAATTTTTGCCAAATTTTCGTTTTTTCATAAAATTCATAGTTTTTTTCAAACTGCAGTGAAAGTGTGAGGAAAATTTGGAATATTTCATTTCTGATGTTTGTTTGTGACCTTTTAAATTCCCTGTCACAGTTTACAAAAACGGTCCTGGACTTTCCCGATTCTGAATAAGTCAGTCGATTAGAGAGTAGAAGCGGAATATTCCAAGAAAAAAGCAGACGAATCGAAGAAGCTGGTGAAAAGTTATAACCAAAAGATGTTGTTGCCAAATCTCATGATTCACCCTATATATTGGAAAAGAAGTGGAGATGACACTTTCTGATGGACATTAGGTATTTCCTCAAGGGCCTCTATTAGTGGTAGGCGTATGTACAGTTCCTCATGACTCACCCTGTATGAGAGTTGAATAAATAGTAAGGTATTATTCACACGAAATTATTCGCGAACTAATCACGCTTGTAGTATCTCGAGAGAACTGACCAACATTGCAAGAATTCTACTTCTACACCACCACCCTGGTTACGAAACACTTAGAAAAAGATGTATAGTAGATATTTCTTTTTATTGCGAGATCTACATATTGTATTGTTTCGTGCCAATTATAATTGTTTTTAATTAGACATTCTCAGTTTGTACCGTTATAAATTAATAAGCATATTAGCGAATTTGAATTAAGAATATACAGGGTATGCCAAGCTGAGCGGTCTATCGACACAAATTTTAAAACAATTTATCTATTGCTATTACAGTGTCGATTTTCTAGAAAATAACCGCTGTAGTTAATTTACGAAAATATTTGTACCTCACAAATCGTTCAGAATTAGAGCACAAAATTTGTGGAAAAGTTACATGGAAGTCCAGGCTAGGGTTCCTTGATGCAAACTGACGTATTTGTCATCTTAACAGGGTACGAACAGATGCTCGTCTCCTCTCACTCTAAAGGGTATTTCACGACGAGCTTACACTATCTCTATATCGAGAATCAGACAGGAGAAATCCATAAAAATATGCATGCTTATATTTTAGAATACGCTCTCTTAATTTGAAATATTTTCAGCAATGCAGTGTTGCCGCTTCTATAAAAAAGTTACAACAACTTTTGTTATTTAAAATAGAATACCCTGTATTTTATTGCATTTTTAGAGTCTCCATGGAGAGCTGACATTATCGATGAATCACACTTGGGGTTTATCGGAAATGATTACAGAGATATAGGGAAAAAGATTTTTCAACTTTAGGATTTCTTTGTGTCGAAACTATTTATTATCGGCCAAAACGGCTCACATGTCCCTTAAATATAATAATAATAGCGATTATTTATTTCTGTCCATACTCCACTGTGTTTGGCTGCGTTAATCTGGAGGTAAACAATATCGTTGTTTGAGACAAAAAACTATTGCTGGCCGTAGTTATTCAAAAACAAGTTATCCATCCCAAGAATAACGAATGAAATACAGATCAAGCAAGTACATGAATCTTGAAGCTAAAGTTCAACTTTAGCTCCTAGGAACTGAGGTTCAACTTTACCTCCTAGGAACTAAATGTGTTGCCTAGCAATATACCTATTTTCGTGTCAGTAATAGACACGTCAATTCAAGAGCTAATTTTGGTATTAAAATGTACGACTTTTGTGTCGGTTGCAGAAAAAACATATTTGTGTCTCATGTTTTTTGTTTAGCTGTTTAACAAAATGACAAGTGTGTTCATACTATCTGAAAGGTGTAAAATAATATGTTCGTGGCATTCTACATTCGATGACCGAAGTTCACTTGAGGAATGCTAACGGTTGATCCTAATATCTCTCGTAATATCTATAAGAACTCATCTTGGCATATGGTGTATCACCTCTACGCAGTCTCGCGGTCATCAATGGTATAAAAAAAACGCAATAATGCACGGGTTCAACATACTCCTATATTTCCCACACAGAGTTGAAGGCACGTGTGGACTTTCTTTTTTTTTGTCACTTCTCGTCTGGATTTCGGAATCTGTCTCCAGTTATTTCA